GTGATATTTTAATGTATCAATGGTGTTTTCCCTCGTCTTTAGAAATTTTTAAGTCTGTAAAAAAGAAGTTTTTGAGGAAGAAGAAGAAGTAGTATTTTTTTTTTTTTTCTAGATTTAAGAAACTCAGAAGCTGATCAAATATCGGGTTAAATATCGGTGGGGTGGCCGATGTCCGATATTCAGTTTTAAGGCCGATACAGGCCGATACCGATAGGGGGCCGATTATATCGTGCATCCCTAATTTTCAGTTATAATAAAAAGGACAGGATTTTATCAAAGTTAAATAAAAAAAAAACAGGCTGATAGAATAGTGGGAATGACTATAGAGAGCATCTATCTACTTGTCTAAAGGATAGTTTATGGTAAATAATCAAGAGAATGTCTTGAATGAAAAGATAAGATTTCATTAAAGAAATGTTAAATTGACAGCACAGACAAATATGAGCTGTGCCACTGTAAACACTGGTGATTTAATGCTTGTAGCCTATAGGGTTGTCAAAAATATCAACACTCAAAAATAAGGATACTTAAATTTGGCATGGTATTAACAATAAAGACAAGTCCTGGTTGTATTATTCTCCTAATGAGAAAAAATTATTATTAACAGCAGAAATGTGCAATCTTAAAATATTGTCAAGTAGGGTTATAATTGGCTAATTTATTTTGTATTTATTTGCAACCTTTTCTATTTAGTATAGGTAATTGTGTTAAGACAGCTCCATTATTGTTCATTTATAGGAATACTAGAGTAAGTGAAGTATGAATTATTTCATCATTCCGGGTGGTAATAAAGGTTTGGTGCTGTATGGTTTGGCAGGACCTGATAATTCTGTAAAGAAACTCCACCTGTTAGAGTCTTTATGTATCCCTACATACATTGTAACCTGTACACATAAAATCTGTCTGTAATTTCATTTTTTTTCTATTTTGCATTGCTGTCCCCCACCCCTGGTGACCTCTCTCTTCTGAAAAATGTTGTGTTTTTTTTATTAATTATTACTCTGGGTCCCTGAGCAAGACCCTTAACCCCACACTGCTCCCCGGGCGCCGCACAATGGCAGCCCACTGCTCCCCAAGGGTATGGGTTAAATGCAGAGATAAATTTCTCCAATGTGAGATCAATAAAGTTCAATTATTATTATTATTATTACTTCATATTATTATTATATTCTCTCCTGTTTTGTGTTAGTGTTGTATATTGCAATGTATAAAAATTAGGGATGCACGATATAATCGGCCCCCTATCGGTATCGGCCTGTATCGGCCTTAAAACTGAATATCGGACATCGGCCACCCCACCGATATTTAACCCGATATTTGATCAGCTTCTGAGTTTCTAAAGTCTAAAAAAAAATACTACTTCTTCTTCTTCTTCTTCTTCTTCTTCT